AACCGTATTAGAAAAGGTAGATGGAAATGATAAAATTCAAAATAACTTCCTCTATGCTCTCTCGATGGGTTTTGACTTTTACAAACAAAAGGAGTTGATGGAAACACATTTGTTGAAAAAGGTAGCAAATATTTTCATCCACTGGTGGATTTGTGTCTTACTAAAGGCAGGAAACCCATCAAAAAACAAAAAGAGAGGGGGACTCTTCATTTTTTCTGAGATGTATTTCCTTAAAAGTGAATTACAGATGGACTAGGCTCACAACAGAGTGCTTTTAAATCTTTCCCTTGGGTACTGTTTTGCTAGGTCTCCAAAAGTCACCTCAAATGCTATTTTAAGTTCCTCCTCCTTACTTGACAGATCACTATTTCAATCTTAACTTTCCTAACTCAGACTGAAGCTAGCTGCTAACTGGACATATAAAAAATAACTGCCATGAAGAGTTTTTAAAACACGATGTATACCAACCAAGTTTTACAGTAATGTAAATTTGAAAGTTAAGGAAACCAACCAGCTTCATTTGGTCGACGTAGGCTGCCATCGCTTCTTCTTCAGACATTTCTCCAAGAGAATTCCACGCATCCCTGTTCCACAAATGTGAACGGGTAAAAAAAACTGATCAAATGATCCAATGTTGGATTAAATAGCTTTCAAACATCATCAGTTTTGCAAATAATTGTTATTCAGAGTTAAAGTCAGAATTTTTCCATGATTCTTTCCATAAAATAATTATCAAAGATTAAGAAACAGAAAGTTGCCTTAATACCCACACTGCTCTTAAAAATTCTTCTACATCTTAAAGGTGGATATTTCAAAATTTGAACAGAAATATTAATTAAAAATGAATATTCTTTGCCAAAGTTACGCTTGTTCTCTGCTTTTTAAACAGACCAAGTTTACTTAAGGTCAGTGTGTTCCCTGTAATCTGTGGGTCAAAGGTTGAGTAACTATGATTTACAACATTTTTAAGCAAATAGAGAAAACATCAACTGCAAAAACACAAAATCTTTGTACGCTTTTATTGGTCTAGTTTCTAGTGGAAATATCTTAGCACAGGATTTCCCAAACTTTTCCATAAAGTGGCTGCCACAAAAAGCATTAACCTCAGGAGGAAACATAAACACTCATTATGTTCATGTTCACTATTCAGTAATTATTACATTCATTTAGCATTAATTCTGCTTCGTGCTTCCTGATTTTACATGATTTAAATGAGTTTTGTGGAGGAAATGCATATTAAAATATTATGTCTATTACCAGATGATGCATGTTTTCAGCACAATCCCCTACTGTGACAAGAAAATACGTACTTTTTATATTAAACAACATCAAATTTTGTTTTATTTCCACAGTTCTTATGTTATTTTTAGCAGAAGGGTCCTGCAGGGCTGCCTCCTTTCATCTTCTTGAAATGGAAATGAAACTTTTCCATTTCTTGATTTCTTTGTTAGTTTGAGGAGTTTCATTAATTTGACTGGCAGAAATGATCATCAAAAATAACAATTATTTTAATTGTATTATATTTATTCTTTAAAGCTTGACTGAAGAACAGATAAATTTATAGTATTGATTTTTTTCCCCATTTTCCCTCTGACTTTTGCAGCCTCCACTTTTAAAAACAAACGTGTTTAAACACTTTTAAAATAAGACAAAACTAACTTACAAGTACCGGTAACTTTACAATACAACAGGAGCTTTTCTAAGTCGATAAATCCTTAATATTGAAGTAAAAGTATTACTTCACTAATAACATGGAAAGATTTCTTGTTATAAGTAAAATAATCTGCCAAAATTAAGAAATTTTTCATTTAAAACAAGCTTCTAAGTTACTTTTAACATAGTTTTATCTTATTTCAGCTGTAAGATATTTGCAACAGAAACTAGACAAAAAATGTTGGTAAGATTTTGTATTTTTGCAGTGTGCTGCTTTGTGGGTCAAAGGTCGCATTCCACACAGAGTCCAGAGAGCGCAGCTCGAGAAGGATCTCCAACTAGAGTCGTGTTTCACATGAAGAGCTAAAATAAAAGTTTTTATTTTAGTACCGGTAAAATAAAAACAAAGAAAAATCTACAAACCATTTTGCTTTGCCAACCGCGTCCCAGAAGCTGGGTCGGGGAATATTACACGGCCCGATAGTGGCCTGTTTATAGTAACTGTAGAACTTTAGCATCATGTCGTTTGACGGCTGAAAGGGACCTGAAAAACAAAACAACAAGTTTATGTAAACTGTGTTTCTAATGGATGGTAATGTGAACAGAGCTGGAATGGAGGCAGTAAAGGAGAGGCTGATCTGTGCTGCAGGTCTGGTGGCAAAGTGGATTAGTTAAATCACTCAAGCTGCTGCGGCGGCTCACCTGACACCAGGTTGGACTTAGAATCTGATTCAGGAAACTGCTTTTAAGGACGTAATCGAGACAAAATGGGATATGACACAATAAGTAGATTCAGAAAGGGCAAAATCATCTGTTTTCCAAGCTTTTCCCACTGATATATATATATATTTTTTTTATTTCTTATCAGGCTGTGTTTTACTACAATAAATCTGCTAATCAGAGAATCCTGCAGGTCAGTGACGTCCAAACTCTGACATTTTCAAGTTAGGGAACTCGAGAGCAACACGTGTCATTTATTTATAGTATGGACGCACGATATATCGACACTAAAATCAGTATCGGAAGACATTAGTCAATTTTTCAGCATATTGTATTGATCTGATAAATAAAACTGGACCAATATTAAAAAAGACCAAAATTGACTGAAACCTAAAATTATACTCAATAAAATAGAAACAAAACTATATTTATTGTTTTTACAACGATTTATGAATTCACAAACAATGATTTTAAAGAATCTTTCCTCAGATTAAAACATCTCAAAAGTTTTTTATTTGATGCTCTTAATTAACTGAAAAAAAAATCAGACTTGTGGTTTGCAAATAGAAAACTGCAAAGTGTGGCATGCATTTTTATTCAAATCCCTTTACTCCACTACCCCTAAATAAAATCTAGAAGAAATAAGACAAAACTAATTTATACAAAGCTATTCAGCAAGAAATTTGAGTTTGTTTTACATCACTAATTCCTAAATGTGAATAAAAAACGTTTTTTTTTTTTTTTCTGATGGCAGAGTTTGATTATATGTAGTCTGAACTCACATTTTTGTAAAGCTTCTTGCAGTGTTGTAAATTACTAAATAAACAAACTTAATTGCATAGGTTTTTATTTGATAAATAAATAAACAGCAAGAAATGTGAGAAATAGCCCTTTATTTCAGCCTGACCAGCTCTAACTTAAAGTCCTTCTGAACTGGTCAAACTGGCAGCGGAAGTCGCTGGTGGTCTTTACTCACCGTTCGGGGGTAAACTCTTGATAACTTTCACCGCGGCTTCGAACCTTTTCTGGGTCAGACGTTTCTGCTCCTCCGCGCTGACACTCTCCACCTCCATGTTGGTGTCAGTCGGTGACAGCTAGCAGGGAAACCTGCCTTGCAAAAAGTAACAAACACAAAACAAACACAGATCTGTGAGTTAGCTGCCTCTGTTTTGACTGATAGTAAGAGGATTCGGCCAGCTGAGTATGTAGGACACAGCAGCTCTTCTGCGGCGCAGCGTCAGTTGCGCCACTTCTTGACGCTAAATTCTGAAATGGCGTGAAATCGTCAAAAGTAAAAACTCTTAAAAGACAACACGCACCTTTCAACTTAATGTTTATCCAGCAGTCAGAACGCAACTTGTCCTTAGCCCTGAGATAGACGCCATGAACAGCAGATAAAGCTAAGCCGGAGTGCATCATGGGAGCTGCAGTTTTCTTCCAACGGTAAGTCCTACAAACGCCATAACGCTCAGGTTTCGTCCGAAAACGAACTCCTAAAAAGGTAGTTTAAAGGTTTCAGGGAACGGACTTTACTTGTTTGATGTAATTTTAAAAAAATGGTTCAGAATTTTTTTAAAAGCATTTTTTCCCCGTGTAAATGTCACTATTGCTAACGCAACTAGTTTGGAACTACACATCCCAGCATGCTCTGCAACGCATCCCATTTTCCCAGATCGAACCGTGATAGGTGACCTCGAAAGAAAAGTTAGAATTCTCACTCTGTCAGTTTTAGAAGTTTTTTAAGTTTTAGAAACTTAAAATGTAATAATTTGACGAGCAAAATACTGACACTGATGTAAAAAAAGTAATCAAACTTTATATGTACAATGTATATCTTTGAAATATATTGACTTATCTTCAGATGTCTTTATATTTCATTTTATTAATGTTTTGTTTTATTCTTTACAACACAGAACTGTGTTGTAAAGTAATAAAATGAATAATAGTAACTTTTATTTTATTATATGATTATAATCAATAACATTTTATTATTGTTATTACTATTATGTTATAATAATAACATTAATAACAGTAATGCCAGGCTCAACCCACGGATTTTCCAACTGAGTCTTATTACTTTTAGTTGCCTGTACATAATGTGCATGTGTATTTAAGATGAAGAAAAAAACATTATGACTATTTTAATTATGATTGCAGTGCTTGATTTCGAAAGTTGTGTAACTCTATTTATTTGCTGAATTTGTAATTTGTTGCCTCTATGATTATATATATAGGGTAGAGTATCACAAAATCATTGAGAAGTGAAAAACGTTTGTTTATGTTGTCTTTTTTATTTACATTTCTGAATAGGCACCTAATTTACACAGCCGTACTGTATTATGGCTGCAGGGGGCGCCCTTTCTTCGTCTCAGTTTCTTTCACTACACACTAAATGTAGAATAAAAACGTATTAACCAAGTTATGAAATTTGGAGGAGAAGGCTATATTTCATTATATTAGTCCTGCAATTGGAGACCATGAAAACACTTCACCCTCCACGGGTATTTTTTCTTCTTCTTTTTATTGGCCAATAATAGTCAATAGCCACATCTGAGTGACACCTCTTTCTCAACACAGACGATCTTCGAATTGAGTTTACGCCAAATCGGGGCCAGGAATCCCACAATACCAGGCGGAGGAGAAAAAGGAGGAAGAGGAGGAGGGTTTCTTTTCTTTTTTTTCCCCGAGTCAGAGCTGTGGGCTGGTGGCTGTTTCAATCAGAGGGAAGGCAGAGAGAGGGAAGGGAGGCTCTGCAGGGAGAGATGTAAGATGGCAGAGCTACAAATGTTGTTGGACGAAGAGATTCCGGCCGGGAAGAGAGCGCTGGTGGAGAGTTACCAAAACCTGACGAGAGTAGCCGACTACTGCGAAAATAATTATGTCCAGGTGAGAAAGTTTATTTTTTATTCTCGGTTATATTAGCAGGCCGACACTTTTATCCCGTTCTCTCCGCGGTTTGTGAGGTTGTTGGGACAGGAAATGCGGATACAGAAACTACTCTCGGGAGCAAATTCAGCTCGAAAAGCTCCCAGTTTTAACACTTGGTGCATCTAAAGGTGGTGCATTTGTGACCGTCGGACGTTTTAGTTTTTGTGATTTTGATCAAATGTTCTCCGTTTAAACATAGGGTGTGTCTACTTTTTTTAAAAAGTAATTAAACTGGGTTGGTTAAAAACTGCTCCCACTCTCACCACTGATAATAACGAGGACCATTTGATTTTACAGCAAACGCTTGTCTTGTTTTCAAATATATACTTCCACCGGACATGTTGAAGGGATATTATATTTTTTTTGCCTGGTATTTGTGGTTATATTTATTTTAGTTCTCAGCCTGCCAGTCAGCTCTTTGTAGGGTCGTTAAACACACCATTTAATACCACAAAAACAGTTAAAGTCTCCATAGGGAGCCCATTGCAGTTGTGGTATGACAATGTCTACAATATTCGACCTGTAAGCACCATGTTTGAACGTGGCTTTTTACTGTTTCTGCATTATTTTAATGCGTGCTTAAAGCTACTGGTCAGACCTTTCAGTAAAATTAGTCAAACCTGCTTTGTTACATATGCAACAATATATCAAAGCTGGTTTTTCTAATTGCTTTATTGGAAATGGTTCCTTTAATCAAAAACATCCCAACGAACAAGATTCCACTAGAAAATGATGGTGTGACATCACAGAAGGCAACTAAAGACTTTATTTCAAAATACTTGTTTTGTAGATTATTATTGTTTTGCTCAGTGTTTATAATTAAATTTTTATCAAATTGACACTTAAGATATTTTACTTGTACTCTGTATAGGCGTTTACCGTACTAAGTCAGGGCTCTTCCCCCACTTGTTGCTGTTCACTCCATAATGTTGTGTTTTCAATGCACATTTCTTTACAATCTACGCAAATATTCACCCAGTTGTGTCTTGGTGTTGTATTGGTATTTTCTTTCCAAACAGGAACCCAACATATCAGCTACAGAGGGTGTGTCCTTTCCAGTGGTACTCCCCAAGGACTCCCTGTAATTTAGTTTCCGTCCTTGTCCTGGGATTGTGTGTTTTTCTTTCTGTCGTTTTCTCTTTTTTCTTTTCTTTATTTTTTTGCATATGGTGCCCAATCCATTCCTTCCCAGACAACAACCGAAACAGTTTTGTTTTCTCATGAGCCCAATGTGGGAGATTTCCTTGTTGTGGAATCACTGTATGTGAGTGAAACATGAAACCAAGACGTTGCAATCTGAATTTCCCACAATTATGACACAACTCTGGCAAAACTGAGTCTGTTTTGACTCTTTGTTGGGAGTGTTGGTAACTGTCATGCTTAATGTTTAACAGGAAGTGTTATCTTGTACTTTGTGCTGCTCAAATAATCTGTTGATTTCCCACATGTTGTGTTAACAGTTTCTTTCTGGACCATGTTACTTAAAGTTCAATGTTTTAAATTACTTATCAGATCTGCAAAACTCTAAAAGGCTTTTGTAGTTCTTCTTTGCATGTTTAATTGTTTTTAAAAGAGTGAAGTCTCATGTTCAAGAATGATCTTCTTTAAGTAAACATACAAAATTACGAAGTGTAAAACAACGTAAGTCATAAAAATCAATCTAATCATCTTGACAAAATGGAATAAAATACATGAAAATACCAATAAAACATTTAGAGAGGGAACAGTCATGTAATTATGCTTTCTCTATTGATCTTGGAACATGTTTAGTCCAATTAAACTGCACAGTTTTAGGTATGGAGCATTGTTGCAGAAAAAGAGAAAAAGCCTTTGTTTCTGAGTTTTGCATGTCTGTTTACCTAAAATACACAAATGCAATATTACAATATGTTCATCTTATGCATCAAAATTGTTGCAATAAAAGAAAAAATCTCTAAATTGTGCAAATTTGATCAGAACATGGGGGAAAATATTAAATAATTGTTTAAACCCTCCCATAGCTCTTTTTTGTTTATTTTTGTTGTTTTTGTTTTTATAAAATAATGTCAATTTCTCATATATATATTTTTATACATTTTTTTAAATCAAACCATTTTCTGGTTTATGCTAAATGTCACTTTGATTTCAGATTACATTGAATTTCAGATTTTTGGAAGTTGTGATGAGGGATCTGTGATGCTGTGAGATTTTGTTTCCCTTTCATGGCATCATAAACTTTTGTCATAAACGAACATTTAAAAAAAAGTCTTATAATTCATAACAGAAACCTTTTGAATAGTGATCCAAAAGTTACGGTTAAAAAGTTCAGTGGACATAAATTCTCCTCCTTTCCTTTCGAAAACCTTTGGCGTGAGTGATTTTTGTTTAAACAGGAAACAAAACACTGCCAATGTTTAAAGTGTGGTGAGGTTTGATTGCTTTGACAGCAACAGGGGGAAGTAAGAAATTATAAAATGCTATGAAGCTGTCATCATAAACCTGTACATATCTGTAAATAATTGACTTGTTTTGTGATAGTTTATTTTAGAGTTGGTCAGAGGCTGTTATTTATTTTTTGTTTTATTTTTGTTTCAGTAAAAGTCACTACTTTGATGCAGCTATGGTTTTGGTCCATTAATAGAGACCCTGATCTCCCCTGGCAGCCACAGTCAGAGCTGAAAAATGTGCCAGAAAATCATTGTAGCTAAGTGCAGAACAGCAAGTGGGGGATTGAGTTGCCGCTGATGTAAAATTAGCTACAACTTTTCATGCAAAAAAAACCTCAATCTGAGTGCCGACGCTCAAAAAGAAGCAGGATTTGAAGCGTTTTGTGTGTCAGAATGAGCCGTCTCTCTTCTGACTCTACACTCTGCAGATCTACATGTCTCGTCTCGTCAAGCGCTCCTCCCTCCTGCGTTCCCATCCCTTCTTCTCTCGCTCTGCGTTCCTGTCACGGAGGCTGTGCTTGAGCTGCAGCATTCATGAGGCTTTTACACCTGACAGTCCGGTAGATTCGGTTCGATCAGAAACCAAAAACCATCTAAACCATTGAGAAACCTGTTCAATCCCTCACCCACGGTGTCCGGATCCTTAAGTCTGAAATTCATGCATCAAAAATTAAAGCCGTAAAATGTCTTAAAAACATTAAAAATAAAATTAACATGGGCTTTAAGTGGTGAATCACAGATCTTAAATTTAATCTTGGCAAGGCTATTTGATCATATATTCTTTTTTTTGTCTCTGTATTATAAGTTAAGACTTGGTTCTAAAAATATTGACTTCATTATCCTGTTATTATGACTGTATTATTATTTATTTTGACTTTATTCTCTCAATATTACGACTTTATTCTCAAATTATTACAATTTCTCGTATTATTTTTACTTTTTCTCATACAAATTCTAATACTATGACTTTACTATCATAATATGAATTTAGTCTAAAAATATTCACTTTATTTCAAATATTATTACAACTTCTCATATTCTTGTACATCTTATAACATTCTAACTTTATTCTCGTATTTTTATGACTTTTCTTGTAGTTTTATTTATTTTTGTTTGTTTTTTTCTTAGTGTGGCCCCGATAGTCCGTCATACTGTTAGGCAAAAGGTTGAGTCACAAGCAGACGTCTTCATTGATCTGTGGCTCACTTCTAACATACCCTTGCTATTATTCCAGCACACTTTTTTTGCATCTCTAATGAGTAAGTTCAAATTCATCGCTAGTTGGCTGGATGAAGTATGTTTCTATAGAAATGTCTTCAATTCCATTCACATTGGTCTTAAAAAGTGTTAAAAATCAGTTGTGGGATCCCTCTTTTGTCTTTGGTAAAAGACCCCCAGTCATTTCCCCCACTAGCCCTCGACTCTTGGGTTATTTTTGGTTATATTTACCCAGAATGCCCTGTGTTTTAGTCCGCTTCCTGATTTTGGAGCCATCTCCGGTCCGATTGTCATCTACATTTGCATAGTTCACTTTTTAGACCAGAGTTTGGATTTTTTGGATAGATTACGGATTCCCATCTCCCCAAACAAACCAAACTTTCTAGAGATAAACGGACTTGAGTTTGATTAAAGCAAACTAATTGGTGTGAACAACTTTCTCACTGAATCTAGGGGTCAGACTGCATGTGATAGACGTATGACACACAGACTGGGCAGAGTGATGTTTCCTGTTTGGTTCTCTGGAAATGCCTTCAGTATTTGTCAGGAAGTGGGGTATTAATAGACAGACACGCGACTTTAAGACACTTGGGCATGAATTTTCTGATCAGGGTTTTATCAAAAATAGTTTCCTGTTTTGTCAGACGTTTGTGTGTCATGTTTTTGGAGAGTTTGTGGTTTAACCTCTGTGACAAAGACGAACAGACTGCATGCAAAGTGGCCACCTGGCTGTGTTGGTAGGACAAACCGAGGACTTGTGCTCATATTCAAAACATTTTTAATGAATTACAGTGAAACCATTTTAACCAGCTTCTTGACGCCATGTTTCTACCTCTTGCCATCTATCCCTCCTTTTGTCCTTCCTTTGAGTCCTACATCCCTTACCCCCTTCTTTCCATCCTTGTGCTTCAATCCTTTTCTTTCTTTCCTTCAATACTTGCTTATTTTACACCTTAGTTGTTTTTTAATTCCAGCTCTAAGATCTCAGCAGTTTGTCTGATGTGGTTTCAGTGTTTTGCAGACGGTAGATGGTAAGGTAGGAAAGGGGAAATGGAAGTGTGATGTGGACACCAGAAGGTCATAAGTCTGACTTTGCTGAAGCAGCAGAATGCTCATGAGGTTTCTGTTTTTACACATTATATCATTGGTGAAATCTTATTTATTTTTTAATAATATTTACTTGCAGAGGTTTATTCTTGTTTGGGATGGTTAAAACAAGTTTAAATTCACTCTCTAGTTTCTCTGCTTTACAGAAGTGCTCAAATTACAGCTAATATCTGGTTATTGTCCATCTCTCGTTATAGAGGCTCGACT